TGAGGGAAAGAAGACAGCCCTCGCTTCTGGAAGACAAAGTGAGATTCTGACTCTTACAGGTTTTGGGGGTAAGCAAGCTCCATACTATGGAATCTAGTCTGGTGTGGCCTGAGTGCCAGGAGTCGCAAGGCAGGAAGACACTATATTAAAAAGCAAAGTTATAATTCAAGTCTGTCCTCGGTCTAGGGCTGAGGTGCCCTCCTTGCTCACAGTTGCGAGGAAGGATGAGAGCTGTAAGCTCACAGCTCATCTGATCTACTCTGGCTCATAGAGACTTGCATAGACGCATGGCCTCAATTCTGGGGGTGGGGAGAGGAGGGAGAGAGAGGAAGGAAACTGGGGTCTGTGATTTGTTTGACCTTGACGGCAAGAGGAAGGCACTGAAAAGCTACAAAGCAATCCCAGGACTTGGGAGGATGAGGTAGGAGAATTGTTCACAAGCTCAAGGCCATGTTCTTCATAGTGAATCCCAAGCCAGCTGGTCTGCTTTTTTTGTTTTGCTTGGGGATTTTTGTTTGTTTGGTTTTTTTTTTTTTTTTTTTTGGTTTTTCGAGACAGGGTTTCTCTGTGTAGCTTTGTGCCTTTCCTGGAACTCGCTTTGGAGACCAGGCTGGCCTCGAACTCACAGAGATCCGCCTGGCTCTGCCTCCCGAGTGCTGGGATTAAAGGCATGCGCCACCACCGCCCGGCTTGTTTTGTTTTTTGAGACAGGGTTTCTCTGTGTTGCTCTGGTTGTCCTGGAATTCATTCTGTAGACCAGTCTGGCCTCCAATTCACAGATATCCACCTGCCTCTGCCTCCCAAGTGCTGGGATTAAAGGTGTGAGTGCCACCATGCCTGACTGTTGTCTCCTTATTGGGCCTGGGATGAAATTTAAGTACTATGACAACCTGGTATTTTGTTTAGGAAAAAAAAATGCTGCCAGTCATGGTGGCACGTGTCTTTAATCCCAGTGATTTCGAGGCCTAGGCAGGTGGATCTTTGCAAGTCTGAGGCTTGACTGGTCTGGTTTACAATATCCAGTTTCATACAGTCAGGGCTATATAGTGAGACCCTTTCTCAGAAAAGCAAAAAATTAAAAAAAAAAAAAAACAAGCAAAAAGCCCAAATAAACAGCTGGACAGTGGTGGCACACACCTTTAATCCCAGCCCTCAGGAGGCAGAGGCAGGCAGATCTCCATGAATTCAAGGCCAGCCTGGTCTACAGAGGAAGTTCCAGGCCAGCCAGAGCTACATAGTGGAAACTCTGTCTCAAGAAATTAAAAAAAAAAGGCTGAGCCAAACTTCTGCTGAAGGCTGGATATGACTTGGGATGTCCCTAAAGCCACTGGTTTCCAAGGGCCTCTGCTGTCACCAACACAGAAGAGGAACTCAATAGATGGGCATTACTCTCTACCCATACCCCTCTTATGCAATATAGTAACCAACCATAGCAAAGAAAAACACTGAGACAAATTACATGCATACTTCACCAAAAGAGTAGATTTTTTTTGTTCTGTATTTTTTTCTTTTTTCTTTTCCACACTAGTTCTTCTGTATTTGTTGTTGTTGCTTGTTTGTTTGTTTGTTTGTTGTTTTTTGAGACAAAGTTTCTCTGTGTAGCTTTGCGCCTTTCCTGGAACTCACTCTGTAGCCCAGGCTGGCCTCGAACTCACAGAGATCTGCCTGCCTCTGACTCCTGAGTGCTGGGATTAAAGGCATGCGCCCACCTGGCTGTTGTTTTTGAGACAGGGTTTCTCTGTATAATGGTCCTGGCTATCCTGGAACTTACTATGTAGACCAGGCTGGCCTGCAACTCACAGAGATCCGCCTGCCTCTGCTTCCCGAGTGCTGGGATTAAAAGCACACACCAATACCACCTGGCGATTTTTGCATTTTTGAGACACGGTCTCATTATGTAGCCCTGGCTGGCCCCAAACTCAGAGAACTACCTGCCTCTGCTACTATGCCCTCATAAATACATATTCTTGAAAAATACTTAGAGCTATTCATTTTGTGTGTATGAGTGTTTTGCCTCATGTATGTCTGTACATCACATGTATGCCTGGTGCCATAAGAGGTCAGAAGAGGGTGTCTTGGATCCTCTGGAACTGAACTTACAAATGTTTGTAGGTAGCTGTATGGGTGTTGGGAATGGAACTAAGTCATCTGCAGGAGCACTAAGTGTCCTTAACTGCTAAGTACTCTCTCCAACCCCAATAAATGTGGTTTTAAAAAGAAAGAAAGGAGGCAGTAGTGGCGCACGCCTTTAATCCCAGCACTCAGGAGGCAGTGGCAGGCAGATCTCTGTGAGTTCGAGGGTAGCCTGGGCTACAGAGCAAGATCCAGGACAGGCACCAAAACTACAGAGAAATTCTGTCTCGAAAAAACCAAAAAGAAAGGGGACTGAAGAGAAGGCTGAGCTGTTATAGCTGTTAAGGGCACTGGCCACTCTTCCAGAGAACCTGGTTGCTTACTTTATAACAAGACCCTGTCTCAATGCTAGGTTTAAATTTTTTTAAACAGCTAAGCCTGGGACTGGAGTTCATGCTTGTGATCCCAGCACTTGGGAGGGGAGACAGAAGGATCAGGAATTCAAGGTCAGCCTCAGTACACAGTTCTAGACAGAGAGAGAGAGAGAGGAGGCAGGCTTGGTGGTTCAGAACTTTAAGTCAAAACTCAGGAGGCCGAGGCAGGTGGAGCTCTGTGAATTTGAGGCCAAGCAGGCAAACATAATGAATTTCAAGGCAGCCAGGGTTGAGGTTCAAGGCTAAGACAGTGAGAACTTGTCTCAAAAAATAAAAAAATAAAAATAAAACAAACAAAACAAGGTCACGCTTGGCTACCCAGTGAGTTAGAGTCCAGTACAGGATACTTCAGAGACTCTCTGTCTCAAAAAAGAATCGTTTGTGACACGACGGTCGGTGGCTGATCTAGCTGCTGTTCGCAGCCTCCCCTCTCCTTGTTTATCTGCATGTTCACAACTGCACTTTCCATAGTCTCTACCCTGAGGCATATGAGAGGTGTTCACGGACAAGAGGGTGTTTCCCTTTTATATTTTAACTTTATTATTATTATTATTAGTGTGTGTGTGTGTGTGTGTGTGTGTGTGTGTGTGTGTGTATGTATGTGTGTGCGCACATGTGGAGCTCAGAGGACACTTTCAAGGTTTAGTTCTCTCCTTCCATCCTGTGTGTTCCAGGGACCGGCTGCATCAGCAAGTGCTTTTACCCGGAGTCGTCTGGATGCCCCCCACCTCCTTTCACTGTTGTTCTTGCTTTTAACTTAATTACATTTTACTCATTCATTTTGTGTGTGTGGTGCGTGCATGTGCGCACCTGTGGAAGCTTTCGGGAGTTCAGTCCCCACTATGTGGGTTCAGATCAAACTCAGGTCATCAGGCTTGGCAAGGATTGGTTAGACGAACAGCTAGACATTATTTCTTTGGGGGGGGGGGTGTTGGGGGAGGTGGTTTCTTGTTTTTATTTTGGTTTTGGGGTTTGGTTTTTCTTTTTCTTTTTTTTTTTTTCTTTTGTTTTGGTTTTTTTGAGACAGGGTTTCAAAACTGTGTAGTTTTGCACCTGTCCTGGAACTCGCTTTGTAGACCAGGCTGGCCTCAAACTCACAGAAATACGCCTGGCTCTGCCTCCCGAGTGCTGGGATTAAAGGCATGGGCGACTACGCCCGGCCCAACGAGACACTATTTCACACACACTCTCTCCCATAAAAGTGTGAATGCACAAGGTCCTGGGATCGATCCCTAGTACCACAGAACAAAAAGACTTCATATTGGCCGGGCGGTCTTTAATCCCAGCACTCGGGAGGCAGATCCAGGCAGATCTCTCTGAGTTCGAGGCCAGCTGGGCTACAGAGTGAGTTCCAGGAAAGGCGCAAAGCTACACAGAGAAACCCTGTCTTGAAAAACAAAACAAAACAAAAAAACAAAAGACTTCATATTATAGTATAATGACAAAAATCCCAGCATTTAGGCAGCTGAGACTGCAGTTCATCACCACAACCATTTTTGGTTTTGTTTTGTTTGTTTATTGAGACAGTTTTGTGCAGTCCAGGCTGGCCTTAAACCCGCAGCGTAGCTGAGGTCGGTTTTGAAATGATTCTCTTGTGTTCATCTATCCAGAGCTAGGATTATAGGCATGAGCTACCATGCCCCACTTCCCCCATATTCTTTTCGGTTTTGTCTTATTTTATTTTATTTTTGAGACAGGGTTTCTCTGTGTAGCCCTTGCTGTCCTGGAACTCACTCTTTAAACCAGACTGACCTCGAACTCAGAGATCTGCCTGCCTCTGCCTCCGGAGTGTTGGGATTAAAGGCGAGGGCCTGGTACCTGGTACCCCACCCCAACCCCCATGTTCTCAATAGAAAAATTGTCTGAAGGACAGGAACTATTTGTCTTTTCATTCTACTATTCCTGTCTAGCACCATGTCTAGCACTAGCATGTGGCAGACACTCAAAACTATGTTAAATTGGTGTCTTCGAAATCATTTAGACATTTCAAAGAAAAAGCAAGCATCAAGTATCTGATGTCTTTAAAGTCATCGAGCTACTTACTAAGGAAGCCAGGATTTGAACCCCTGTCTGCAGAACCACAGGGCTCTCACTGAAACATAATACGTAAGTTTCCCAGTGGTACATAAAAGCAGAGGGTCGCCGGGCGGTGGTGGCGCACGCTTTTAATCCCAGTACTCGGGAGGCAGATCCAGGCGGATCTCTGTGAGTTCGAGGCCAGCCTGGACTACCAAGTGAGTTCCAGGAAAGGCGCAAAGCTACACAGAGAAACCCTGTCTCGAAAAACCAAAAAAAAAAAAAAAAAAAAAAAAAAAAAAAAAAAAAAAGCAGAGGGTCGAACTGGTGGTAAACTGGCAAAGCGCTAAGGGTCTGAAAATATTCTCATAGGTCGCAGCGCCTTGGAGATCCGCCGCCCCCACGCGCCGGAAGTCGTGAGGCCAAGACTACATATCCCAAAATGCTCTGCGGTGCCTTTCCGCAGTGGTGACGTCGTAAGGACGCTGGCGCGCGGGATTTAAACTGCAGCGGTTTAGGCGGCGTTAATACTGTATTAGCAGAGTCGTGGTTTCCAAGCTTCTTGCATTTGTTTTACCTGCTGGTGTTCCCGAGTCCATGGAGTCGCTTCACGCCCGATTGTTTCCTGGTCTCTCCATCAAGATTCAGCGCAGTAATGGTGAGGGCAGGGTCCTGAGGCCAAGGGGACGCAAGAGCAGTGAGAATGCCAAGATGGTTACCCAGCCCCCAAACGGCAAGGTTTGGGACACTCTTTCCCCCATCCCTCCCTGAGGGGGTCCATGTCCGTGCACTGGCGGTCGTTGTCCCCTACACTGGGGGAAAACACTGCCCTGGTTGTGGGACCCTTGCCTGCTTTCTGAGTGTGGGCAGAGCACCTCTGCGAGTCATAGACGTGCCCAGGCTAGGTTAGAGCCAGAGGCTGTACTTCCTGCCGAAATCTTTCTCTGAAAGTGCTGGGCTTCCTAGCCCCAGACGGAGCTGTATATGGTGCTTTTGCCGTATGTTAGGCGCAGGGATTCAAAGTAAACGAGCAGGATCCCTGCTCTGTTTTTGTTAAGGGACGACTGCAGGTCTGATAATGTCATTCGAGCAATAGCCAGACAACGACTGCCAAAACTGAGTTGGGAAGTCAGCTCTTCAGCGATGCGTTCAGGAACAGCTCCCCTTAGGACTGTAGTGATGTCCTTGCTCAAATGAACCTTCATTCTATTGCAGACTCTGGAGCAGATATGAACCCTTATTCTATGTAGCTGGGGTTTAAAACCTGTTGCCTACCCACCTCACTGTGGGGTGGTCTATGGTGAATCCCCACTAGGATTATTAGTGTTTGTGCTGATTTTTTTTTGTTTTTGTTTTTGTTTTTGTTTTTCGAGACAGGGTTTCTCTGTGTAGCTTTGCGCCTCTCCTGGGATTCACTTGGTAGCCCAGGCTGGCCTGGAACTCACAGAGATCCGCCTGGCTCTGCCTCCCGAGTGCTGGGATTAAAGGCGTGCACCACCACCGCCCAGCTCTGTAGGATCCTGAAAGCAGAGTGGAGTGTAAAAGTTAAGTTTTTAGGAGACAGGTGGATGACCTCTGCTCTTTTCATACACAGGCCTAATTCACAGTGCCAATATAAGCACAGTGAACTTGGAGAAATCCTGTGTTTCAGTGGAATGGACAGAAGGAGGTAACACAAAGGGCAAAGAGGTAGGTTCTGTAAGAATGTTTCTGTGGCATGTCACATGATCCTGTGTGGAACATCTGTGTGGAACCTGTGAGAGCCCAGTTTCTGATGTTTGCTGTCCTCTCCAGTCTTAAAAAATGGTCCTCTTTGGATACGCAGACGTTTCATTTAGTCAGGTGTGTGTGGTTTTTTGTTTTTTGTTGTTGGTTTTTTTGTTTTGTTTTGTTTTTGTTTTTTCGAGACAGGGTTTCTCTGTGTAGCTTTGCGCCTTTCCTGGAACTCACTTGGTAGCCCAGGCTGGCCTCGAACTCACAGAGATCTGCCTGGCTCTGCCTCCCGAGTTCTGGGATTAAAGGCGTGTGCCACCACCGCCCGGCTGTTTTTGTTTTTTTGTTTTGTTTTCTTTTCTTTTTTCTCTGAGACAGGGTTTCTCTTTGTAGCTTTGCGCCTTTCCTGGAACTTGCTTTGTAGACCAGGCTGGCCTCTAACTCACAGAGATCCGCCTGGCTCTACCTCCCGAGTGCTGGGATTAAAGGTATGCACCGCCACCGCTCAGCGTCAGGTGTGTTCTAAATTGAAGCAATTAACAGTTTCTGGTGTGTCTGTGGAAAGCAAATTTCGGCAAAGCCAGAAGGCTTTGCTTACTTACCTAAGCTGGGTTCTGAGTGCACACTACTGCTTCAGTTTGGGTAATAAAATCAGTAACCAGGAAAGGAAACAAAGGTGTGTTTTCAAAATGCCAAATCATAAAGCAGCTGGTGATGGATGACACAGATGGACAGTGTAAGATCTGACCCAGGGTGGGACTTGGATGGAATATGAAGGCTAATGGCATGCATCCATCCTGAGGTCTGAGTGACAAGCTGGCCATAGACCGAGCAGACTCAGGATGCTTTGGCCCCAGCAAGAAGTCTGAAAAGAGATGGGAGAGTCTCTGGCAACTACGATGTTTAGGGTTAGTGGGGAGCCTTGCAATATTGAGAAAAGTAGAGATGGGAAGAAGGCATGGTGTTGTGAAAAGGTCACTGGTCTGTGAATTTAAAAACTCAGATTTCTATTCTGTCTCTGCTTCTGCTTTCGTGTTTCTGCCCTTAGAAATTTCATATGCTAACCTGTAAAGTGAGGTTGATAATGTCTGTCTCAGAATATTGTGAGGATTTAGCCACAAAGTCCTGGACTGATTCCAAAATGACAGACCATGTGTTGAGGGCTGGGAATGTAGGTGAATAAGATGCGTTCTCTCTCAAGGAGTTTCATAGGGTGACACAGATAGGTCTGGTGTGTGGTACATACCTTTAATCTCAGTGCTCAGGAGGTAGGGGCAGGCAGATATTTATGGGCTTGAGGCTAGCCTGGTTCACATAATGAGTTCTAGGCTAGCCAAGACTACATAGTGAGAGCCTGTCTCCAAAAAAAAAAGATACATGTAAGTCTCTTTACAAAGATCTCTGTGAGTTCCAGGCCAGCCTGGTCTATACAGTGAATTCCAGGACAGTTTGAGCTATATAGTGACACCAAAAAAATAATGAAGCGTGATCCTAATTAGTCTTAACAATAAAATGCACAGAGTCAGATATGGGAGGTGGGGGAGGAGGTGAAAGCTGAAAGATCAGTGAAGCAGGGGAGCAGCCATTATCTCCTCCTACCTCTACAAATCCTCAGACCAGCTGGTGGGTGGGGGAAACCTGTCTCTGAATCCTCAGACTGAATGGGGCCTGAGATCCTGTCTCCACCCACCTTATACTCCTGTCTCTACCTCCCTAGTGCTGGGATCAAAGGCTTGAGCCTCCCATGTGCTGAGATCAAAGGCATGAGCCTCCCAAGTGTTGAGATCAAAGACATGATCCTCCCAAGTGCTGGGATCAAAGGTGTGAGCCACCACCAACTGGCTCTGTTTCTCTTTTAGACTGGATCAATCTCTGTGTAGCCCAGGGTGAACTCCTGATTTTCCAGCTTCCTCCTCCCAAGTGCTGGGATTAAAGGTGTGTGCCACCACTGCCTGGCCTCTATGGTTAACTAGTGGCTAGCTCTGCTTTTTGATCTCCAGGCAAGCTTTATTTGTCAGAACACAAATGAAATATCATACAACAAAATAAAGTTGTGTGTGTGTGTGTGTGTGTAAGGAGGGAGGAAGCACTTGAGTGCCATGGTGCATATTTGTCATGTGTGATGATTTCAGGACAACGTTGGGAAGTTGTTTCTACCTTATTGAAATAGGGGTCTTTTGTTTCCACGCTAGCTAGCTTGGGAGCCTCTGGGTGATTTTCCTGTCTTCATCTTCCATCTTGATTTAGGAAAGCTGGGATTATAGATTTTTATGCCTGCCCATACAGAGTTTGTGGCCAACCTGTATTACACAGTGAGACCCTTTATCAAAAAGAGAGTGGGGCAGTGGTCACCCACATCTTTAATCCCAGTATTCAGAAGGCAGAGGCAGGTGGATCTGAGTTTGAGGTCAGCCTGGTACGAGTTCCAGGACAGCCAGGACACCCTGTCTTGAAAAAACAAAAGAGAGAGAGAGAGAGAAAACTAGTGTGTGTGTGAGAGAGAGCTATACGTGAGTGTGCGCGTGCATGCGTGCGTGCGAGTGAGAGACAGACAGAGGGACGGGGGGTGGGGGAGAGTGAGAGAGTGAGTGTGAGAGTGTGAGTGTTCCTCTCAGGGCCTCACATATTATTGTATTATTCCACTGAGCTACATCTCTGTCTCTAGAGCCTTCTTAAGACCTCAGTCAAATGAGGCCGCTCCCCCTCTACCGATCGATGCCTGTGCCTTCCTCTTTTCACACTCTTGCTCCTGTTCTCTGTCCTAGGATGCCCAGTGTGAATATACATAGGTAGTATTCGGTCTGGGCTCTTGTATTTATGCTCTGTGTAGTTTGAAGCTTGAGCATGAAGTAGGAGTATGTAGCAATGCAAGGAGTGTCCTCAAGACGGCGCTATCGAAGTACTTGCCAGCTTTTGCAAACAGGGATGCTGTCCTCATTTTATCCATGCTGCTTGATTTCTACCATTGGACACAGGACTCTCCTTCCCCGTTAGAATTTGAATTCACAGAAAGGTGATGTATTTGAGTTTATTTGTGGTTACCCTCTCTTGCATGCTGCTGGCTTACTTGTTCCTAACACGTTTGAGTAGGACAGTTAATAAACAGTCTGGGCTGGAAGTGTAGCTAAATGATAGAGTACTTGCTTTGTCTCTTCGCCCTGGGTGCCAGCTCACCAGCCCTATAGAAAGTAAACAAGTAGATGCAGCTTGTGGATTGAAGTGGTAAAGCTTTCACCTTAGGGTGTATTCGTTAGCTTTGTCCGTTTCAAAATCTAAACAAAGTGAGATCCATTTGGTGTCTTGCGTGCATGTGTGGTGCTGAAGAGTGAATTCAGGGCCTCACACATGCAAAGAAACACTCTACTGTGAGCTACATCCCTCAGCTGGATTGGCTGCTCCAAACCTATGAGTTATGCTGGTGAAATTTGAGCTGTTCCTAAAGAGTTATAGGACTCTGGTGATGTAAACCCAGAATTGTGACCTCACTGTGGGTGTGAGCAGGACTGGAAAGGCATCAACGGAAAGGTGTGACTGGGAGAAGTTTCTGGGCCCAGTAGAAAATGTAGGTAGACTTAGGGTAGCAGCTTTCGGGAACTTACCCCTGCTGATAAGATCCTGAGGGGCCCTCCATTGTGACTGTCACCAGATGGTTAGAACTTGTTTCCTCCTTCGTGTCAGCCAGCAAGAAGTGATCAGGGGGCTGTGACCAACAGGACTGTCCAGCAGATCAGTAGGAGAGCCAAGTAACGTAGGTCTCCTGTGACTTCTGAGTGCCTGCTTGTCCGCTTCTTCTCCACCTCATTCTCATCACTCACAGTCTCCCACTGGCTTGGAACCTGGCAACCCATTCCATCTAGATGGTAAACCATTACTAAGGAATACTATTTTGTAGTGGTCAGTGCTTAATGGAGCGTAAGGTTGGTAAAGCCTGAGTCTTGGGCGGCCTTGATTACAGCACCTCATTTAGGTCAAACCCTGTTGCTTCACTGAAACTCACTTGTCCTTGCAGATTGATATTGATGATGTGGCTGCAATAAACCCAGAACTCTTCCAGCTTCTTCCCTTACACCCGAAGGACAATCTGCCTCTGCAGGAAAATGTAACAGTCCCGGTAGGTATCTGCCTGTCATCTGACTGCAGCTGCTGTCCCTGAAGAATCACTTGTTACCTTTTTGCTGATTTCGGTCTGGGACTGCCCGGGGGCCTTGTCACAGTACGCAGGCTCATGATAGGACCCCGAGGACTGATAAAAGCCATATGTTGTGGCGATTTGTTCTGTTTTTCAGAAGCAAAAACGCAGATCGGTCAACTCCAAAATCCCAGCTCCCAAAGAAGGTAAGTGACTGGCTGTTGTCGTGGTGTTTGCTGTGGGTGAGGTTCCTAGGGCTGAGTGGAAGCCAAAGTAGACCCCTTGCATGTGACTCTGTGTAAGCTGAGTTCTATCCTTTGTTCAGTCATCTTGTTGTGTGAGGAAGAACCTAACCTACAGCTAACCTCTGAGAGAATTGTACATTTCAGACATTTGTTTTCTGGCCTAAACACTTGTTCTATAGACCAGAGTCTGGTACAGAGGAGACCGACTTCCTTCCCTCAGAACACGAGCCTTGCATTGAGGCTGTGAGAGAAGCATAGATATAGTTTTGGGCTATTTAGATGAGCAGTGGAGCTGAATACAATGATGTGTGGCTATGATCCTCATGGGAAGCTGAAACAGGAGGATTAAAAATTCTAATTGCCTTGGACTATAGAAAGAAACCATCCCCCCAAAAATAAAGAAGCTGGGGGAGGTGGTGTACACCTTTAATCCCAGCTCTTGAGACAGAAGCAGGAAGATTTCTGAGTTTGAGATTAGCCTGATCTATATAGTAAGTTCCAGGGCAGCCAGAGCTGTATAGTGAGACCCTATCTCGAAGGGAAAAAAAAAAAAAGATGATACATTCATAATAACTAAAAATTTAAAAAGCAAGAAGGCTGGTGAGATAGTTCATCAGGCAAAATCACATTACACAAACCCGACAACCTGAGTTCCATCTTAAAAATACCAAGTTGTAGCCGGGCGGTGGTGTCGCATTCCTTTAATCCCAGCACTCGGGAGGCAGAACCAGGCAGATCTCGGTGAGTTCGAGACCAGCCTGGAGATCCAGGACAGGCACCAAAACTACACAGAGAAACCCGGTCTTGAGGGGGAAGAGGGGGGCGGACGATCACCAAGTTGTTCTCTGATCTCCGTGTGCACCATGGTATACAGGTCCCATAGACATGCTTAACACAGCCTGCAAGAAAGGCGCTGATTCCGTTCCAGTGCATGTCCTCAAGGGATAGGGACGCTTTCCCGGTTGGTCTTGTTTGATTTTGCGTACATGCTCACACACAGAGTCAGTTCTCTTCCACCGTGGGTTCTGGGGATCAAACTCAGGCCATCAGGTTCGTGCAGCAAGTGCTTTTACCTGATGAGTTATTGTGCTGTTTGTTTTGGTTGTTTTAGATTCATATTATTATTTTTTAAAATTCTGTGTGTGTGAGTATGTGCTACACGAGTGCAGGAGCCCAGGGAAGTTAGAGGTGCTGGGTCCTTCTAGAGCTGGAGTTAGACGCCATTGTGAGCCACCTAATGTGGGCGCTGAGAACTCAGCTCCAGCCCTTTGGAAGAGCAGTGCGTTCTCTTAACTGCTGAGCCATCTCAAGCCCTGGTTTTGGTTGTTTTTTTTGTTTGTTTTGGTTTTTTTGACAAACAATCTCTGGTTCAGCCTGTCCTGGAACTCACTACAGAGCTCAGGCTGGCCTCAACCCGTAGTTTGAGCAATCTTCTTGCCTTAGTTTTCCAAGTGCTTGGATTACAGAGGGAGCTATCAAACCTGGCTCTGTCTGACTTTGTTTTGCTTTGCTGAGGGCTGGGCCGAAGCCATCTGTGCCCCACCACTGAGCTGTCCTCCCAGCCCTGGAGCTCCTTAAGTGTGTATGTGAGTCCAAAGTAGGAACGAAGGTTGGAGAGGTGTCTCAGTGGGGAAACTGCTCGGCCATGTCAGTGTGAAGGCTTTATTTCAGATTCCCCATTACGTATGTAAAAAACAGATGTGATGACATGTGTTGTGATACCCTAGTGCTGGTGAGGCAGAAACAAGATGAGCCCCGGGACTGGCTTGCCAAGCCAGGCCAGTCAAAACGGTAAGCTCCAGGTCCAGAGAGACACTGTCTCAAAAATTAAGGGGAAAGTGATAGAGGAGAAATACAGTGTCAACCTCTGGTCTGTATAGGCACAGCCTAGGTGAGTGCCCTCTGCAAAGTCATGGACACACATTCATCTATCACACACCCAAACAAGTGGGGATGAAGTGAAAGACTGCAGAATTACTGTCATTCGTGAAACACAGAATTAGGGGGTTTGGAGGAGGGATTGAGGCAGGTTCTCATACTGTAGGCCAGGCTGACCTCCAGTTTGCACAACTACTGTCTCGCCCTTCTCACAAGCGTTAGGATTGTAGGCGTGAGCTGCCCATTTAACTTGACTTGAAAAAATTTTTTAATTTTTATTTATTTTTGATTTTTCAAGACAGGGTTTCTCTGTGTAGCCCTGGCTATCCTGGAACTTGCTTTGTAAACCAGCAATGGCCTCAAACTCAACAGAGATCCACCTGCCTCTGCCTCTTGAGTGTTAGGATTAAAGGTGTGCACCACCACCACCCGGCAAAAGTGAATCTTAAATTTTTTTGAGGTTTTATGTGTGGGAGTGTTTTGCCTGCCTTTATATATGTTTGTGCACTATATCCATGTAGTGCCTACAGAGGGCAACAGTTTCCCTGGGACTAGAATACAAAAGGGTACTAGCTACCATGTGGGTGCTGAGAATTGAACCAGGGTCCTCTGGAAGAGCAGCCAGTGCCCAGTGTTCATAACCCCTGAGCCATCTCTCCACCCCTAAAAAATGAATCCTGAAAAAGGATTCTTTTTTTTTTTTTTTTTTTTTCCCATCAAGACTAGAAAAATAGGCTGGTTGGTGGTGGCACACGCCTTTAATCCCAGCACTCAAGAGGCAGAGGCAGCCGGGTCCCTGTGAGCTCAAGGCCAGCTTGGTCTACAGAGTTGCAGAACAGCCAAGGCTGTTACACAGAGAAACCCTGTCTCAAAACCAAAAAAAAAAAAAAAAAAAAAAAAAAAAAGACATAGAATAGGTCTTTCTCTCCAGAAATTATTTTAGATTTTCTGTGGGTCCTTTCATTTATTTTGTTCCTCCCTCACTGCCCCTGTACTGAGGATTAAACCAGGGCCACGAACATTCTAGATAAGCCTTCAACCACTTGGCTATATGGCCAGCCCAAGACAAATGCTCTTAAGGGAGATATCCAGGTGGCTAAGTTTGGGGATGGTGGTGCTTGGCCTTGCTGCTGTTTCCAGGCTCACATCCAGGTGGCTAAGTTTGGGGATAGCGGTGCTTGGCCTTACCACTGTTTCTGGGCTCGCGTCCGGGTGGCTAAGTTTGGGGATAGCAGTGCTTGGCCTTGCTGCTGTTTCCGGGCTCGCGTCCGGGTGGCTAGGTTCCATCCTGCCTGTGCACTCCCCTACTGCTTTAGCTCACCGTATTGTGTGGTCTTCTGACCTTAGGTCTTCGAAGCCGGTCCACTCGCATGTCCACTGTCCCAGAGGTTCGAATTGCCACTCAGGAGAATGAAATGGAGGTGGAGCTGCCTGTAGCTACAAACTCTCGAAAGCAGTTTTCAGTTACCTGTGAGTAATCGGTGTTCTCCCTGTATAAGGCCCTAAAGCAGCTCCTTATGCTTTATGTGTGCCGTGCTGAATTTCCCAGGGTTCCTAAAGTGGTTCAGGATAGGCTTGTCATGGAGGGAAAGCCTTCAGAGGCCTGATTCTACAGACTTGACCCAAGCATGGCTTTTTGGGCTAGGCCAGCCCTTTCTGACTTCTCCAAACTATATTGACTCAATGAACTAGGTGACTGTGGTTGCTCACCACTAAAATACCAGTACTTAAGAGATTGCCATGAGCTTGAGGTCAGCCTAGGCTCCAGAGTGAAAATCTGTCTCTGAACACACATACACACACACCAAGAACAACAACAAAAACCCAAACTGAAAAAATTAACCAGACCAAAACACCACAAAAATGTCCGATAACAATCCATCATGCCTTGTTACACTCATACCTGGTCATGAGCCTTTCACTTACCTTCATTTAGATTAATATTTAAAGCATAGTGATACACTATCTCACAAAATCTCCATCTACTTTACACATCTAGTTGAAAAACCACTTTAGGGGTTAGATTGTCGCTCAGCTGCCAGAGTGCTTGCCCAGCATGCACAAAGCTCTGAGCTCCATCCCAGCACTACATGAAGCTGGACGTAGTGGAACCTAGTGGACCCCGCCTGCAATTCTAGCACTTATGAGGCAGGGTGATTCCATACGAGGTCAACCTCAGTCCAGCCATACTGAGTTTGAGGCCAGCCTAGGCTGTGTGATATGCTGGCTCAAAACAACTGTTGTTTTATAAGACAGGGTTACTCTGTAGCTCTGGAACTTGATCTGTAGACCTGGTTGGGCTTGACCTCAGAGATCCACCTGCCTCTTGTGTACCACCACGCCCTGCTGTTTGTTCTTTTGAGACAGGGTCTCTTTCTTCTCGTTCTGTACCCTATGATATCCTGGGACTTACTGTGCACCCTAGCCTGGCCTTGAACTTGTAGAAATCATTCTCCCTTAGCCTCCCAAATGCTGGGATTACAGGTGGGAGCTACCTGACTCAGTTTAAAATTATTTTTCAAGTTCTGCTTTCATATTTAGTTTAAGGCTTTTTGACCCCAGGTGCAGGCAGTCCTTGGCTGGAATGGTGCTTGAATTTGGACTGGGGGTAAGAGGAACAGCCCAAGTTTGTCCATGACCAACTGTTGAGTCGCAGGTTAGGACAGCTGCTCTTGCTGTCTGCTCTCCAGTGACTCTTGTCCCCCCCACAGCCGGCTTCCCTAGGCCCTCCTGCCCTGCAGTGACAGAGTTACCATTGTCGATGGTCAGCGAGGAGACAGAAGAGCAAGTCCACCCCACCCGAAGCATGTCTTCTGCAAACCCTGGAAATTCAGGTAGACGCGCTGAGCTGTGTGCCCCTCTGCTCTAGCACAGGTAGTTAACATTGGCCCACCTGGGCCCTGAAGGTAGGTTATCCTATGCTTATGGGCTGAGTCTTTCACAACACACAGAAGTTTGGCAGAAGCCATTTGCTGTATGTATTCACCGCTAAGTTCTTGATAAACAGCCCAGAGTCCTTTTGAAAATGAAGTGGGATATCTTACCTTTTTTTTTGTTTTGTTTTTCAAGACAGGGTTTTTTTGTTTTGTTTTGTTTTTGTTTTTTGTTTTCAAGACAGGGTTTCTCTGTGTAGCTTTGCGCCTTTCCTGGAACTCACTTGGTAGCCCAGGTTGGCCTCAAACTCACAAAGATCTGCCTGCCTCTCTCTGCCTCAGAGATCCGAACTCACAGAGATCGGCCTGGCTCTGCCTCCCGAGTGCTGGGATTAAAGGCGTGTGCCACCACTGCCCGGCTTTTTTTGTTTTGTTTTGTTTTTTTTTTTTTTTTTCAAGACAGGGTTTCAAGAATGGGTTTTTTATTGTATAACAGTCCTGGGTGTCCTGGAACTGCTTTGTAGACCAGGCTGGCCTCAAACTTTTTTTCTTTTATATAGATTTATTGATTTTTGTGTATATGAGTGTTTTACCTGCATGTGTGTCTGTGCACTGTGTGCATACCCGATGCCAGTGGAGGTCAGAAGAGGGCATTAGATTCCCTAGGGCTTGTGTTATAGAGAGTTGTGAACCACCAGGTGGGTGCTGGGAATCAAACTTTGGTCTTCTGCAAGAGCAAGTGCTCTAACCACGGAGCAATCTCTCCACCCTGCCTCATTTTGATTCTAGAGATAATAGCTGCAGAAGCATAGAGCTTAGGTCAAAACCAGAGTGGTGTGGTTGTTGCTCTGACCTCACATTGGCCCAGTCAGTACTTCATGGACTCATCCATCCAAGAGTCAGCTAAAACTCTAGAAAAGGGCGTAGGCTGTGTTAGTGAGGTGGCTCGGCAGGTCAAAGGTGCCTGCCATCACGCCTGATGACCTGAGCTCAGTTTCCAGATCCCACATGGTAGGAGGAGAGAACTGACTTCCAAAAGTTATCCCCACTTCCATGTGTGTGGAGTGGCATGAGCATGTGTACAAACACACACACTAATTTATAAACAAACAGAAGGCCAGGCATGGTAATGCACACCTTTGATCCCAGCGCTTGGGAGGCAGAGGAGGGCAGATCTGAGTTTGAGTGAGGCCAGCCTGGTCTATCTACAGAGTGAGTTCTGGGACAGCGAGGGCTACATACACAGAGAAACTCTATCTTGAAAAAACAACAACAACAACAACAAACAAAATAAATAAAAACAAGAGTCTAGAGAAGGGAGACCTGTTTCTGCAGAAGGCCCAGTGTCGGCGGACTAGCCAGAAAGTCACAAAAGAAGCAGAGGGGTAAAGAGTGACTTCCTTTCCCCACAGTTCGGAGGAAATCATGTATTGTGAAGGAAATGGAAAAAATGAAGAACAAGCGGGAAGAGAAGAGGGCCCAGAACTCGGAAATAAGAATAAAGCGAGCTCAGGTGACTCCTGGGAGATGCGGGCGAGAGTTTCAGGACAGGCACCCTGGCAGATAAGCAGCCAACACATAGCTGTCCCTGGGATTTCTAAGGCTCCAGTTCTGATATCCAGGAAGTTTAATCGCTTCTTATCAGAATTCAGAAAATAAATGCATAATTCAAAAATTATCTGAAGATGTTCCAATGAGCCATATTTGATGCTGATTGGGGAAGCCCATCCTGTGCTCACAAGATGCAGTCCTGTTGCTGGGCACACCTGCTTGCCTGCCCTCCATCCCCTGTAACCGGTATTACCATACAGGGTAGAAGCAATGGCAGCAGAGTCGTCTTAGTGGGGTAATTGATCTGAGGAAACGCATTCTGCTGCTTTGCCTCCTAAGATGTGGAAAGCAGCTCTTGTCCCTGGTGCATACTTGGGGTCCCCTGACAATCCTGCTCCCCAGGGCCCCTGCCTGGCTTCTCACACTAGAGCCAGGGTTGAGGCAATCAGCTGTGAAGCCGCTGCTGCCTGGTGTCTCTGGGTCTAAGCGCTCACACCTTAACAGTCTGCCCTGTGTTCCTCTTGCCTCAAACAGGAATATGACAGCAGCTTTCCAAACTGGGAGTTTGCCCGGATGATTAAAGAGTTTCGGGTTACTATGGAATGTCACCCACTTACTGTGACTGATCCTGTGAGTATACCTGAAAGTTTTTCTACCTCTCTTCCCTGAGCAGGACAGGGAAGGACATTGAAGGACAAGGGAAAGGCATGCTGGGATCTTCATTCACTCTTGAGTGTTGTCTGAAGAGTTTTAGGTTGCTCTCTCTTTTCCCTCCCCTCCCTTTTGTGTGTGTGTGCGCGCGCAGGTATTTGTCTCTTCCCATGCCCCCATCTATAGCTGAGTGTTTCTGGGGATTGAATCCAGTACTCCCAATATCTGAGCACACAGTCTCCCACTGAGCCATATCCCTGGTGGGGGCCCCCCAACACTTTTCAAGACAGTGTCTCAGGGCTGGAGAGATGGCTCAGTAGTTAAGAGTACTTGTTCCTCAAAAAAAAAAAAAAAAAAAAAAACCTGGGTGTAGTTCCCAGCACCCGCATGGTGGCTCACAGCCAGCTCTAATTCCTTCCCCTTGGCATCCACTGGCACTGCTCTCGTGTGATAAACGGACATACGTGCAGGTACAATATCTGTACATGTTTGAAAAACCAAAGGGTCTGTCTCACTAAGTAGACCTGCCCGGCCTGGAACTTGCCTCCCAAGTGCTGGGATTACAGGTACATGCCACTACATCCAGTTAAAAATGTCTTTTATATTTTTGGTTGTGAGCCTAGCCTTTAACGGCTGAGCCATCTCTCCAGCCGGGCGGTGGTGGCGCACGCCTTTAATCCCAGCACTCGGGAGGCAGAGGCAGGCGGATCTCTGTGAGTTCGAGGCCAGCCTGGTCTCCAAAGCGAGTTCCAGGAAAGGCGCAAAGCTACACAGAGAAACCCTGTCTCAAAAAAAACCAAAAAAAAAAAAAAAAAAAAAATGTCTTTAAATTATGTTTATTTATACTGTGAGGATGGTACTTGTACACATTCCTATATGGAAGTCAGAGGACAACTTGCAGGAGTCATTTCTCTACCATGTGGTATTGAGAGCTATTGAGGACCAGCCTCAATGCCCTCTCAGGGTTCAGAGGAAAGGCTACACCCATTGTACGGTTCAAAGGATCTGAGGGCAAAAAATTGATCTCTCACTCCATGCTTCTTTGTTCCAATTTCTTTTTCCCTTAGCTGTAAGGTTTTTCAGTTTATATACATACACAAACAAAGGCAATTCTCTGGTAATCGCAAAGTTACAGAATTTTCTCAGGGTCAAAAAGAAGATAGGACCTGTCCGGAGTGACATCCTCAGCATTTTCATGGTTCTGGGGAGGCGTGGCTAGAAGGGTGTCCCGGGCAATGCTAAGAGGCAGAAAGGCTGATTTCATAGGCTTCTCAGTTGTGAAGAAGTTCACACATGATCTACAGTCGTAGGTGTGCGTATTTACACTAGAGGTTAGTGAGAGAGAAACGGGGAAGAAGGGTGAGTAAGGGCGCAGCCATCAACGGTTGGTTCCGCTGCCCGCGGCCGGGCAACTGCGAAGAGCCTCCAGGTTGCTATGGCGACCGGCATACTGTGGGAGAAAATTGTGGAGTCTGATTTGTGCCAACACTTTGGCCATTGTAGCTAACTGAAAGGGACTTCTTTAGATCAACAATTTACATCTATCACCCAAGCGTTAGAATGAGGGGAATTTAAAGCATGTGGTACAAGGTCTGGAGCCTGATGAATTCCAGCCGCCCTAACCACACAGCGGGACTTGTCTCTAAATGCCGCCCGCAAGAAGGGAACTACTTTATTCCTGCACTGGGTAAATAAGCAGTGGCTACTGTTTTTTTGTTTTGTTCTCTCTCAGGGTTAGAACACCGGTGGTAAATTTCCTAGGTAAATTTCTATATCCAGTAAATGGAAGTGAAAGTAGGTGAGGGGTTAATAGCTCTTAGGGTAGAGCTGGAAGTAGCTGAGGTTAGCACTTTGTCAAGTCAGCTATGGGAGAATTTAGGGCACTCGCTCTCTGTAATCAGGAGGGACCAGAATCAAATCGCTTGAATGTCCCTTTATCTCTGAAGGTCCAAATGTGATCTATTTGAAAGACTCCTTTCCTGACCACATGTCCTGCCAAGTGGGATAACTGCAGGGAGCTGGCTTCTAGTGTCTGTCACAGGGAACAGAGCGGAGATTAGGCTGTGGGAACCAAGGTTATTGACTTCGCGACTAAATTCTCCCACTGGAGATGCTACAGAGTGGAAGGGGGGGGGGTTTGTAGGAGGAGGGAGGAGTCACCCAGCACGTGGGAGAATTTATGCCCAGTAAATGATCAAAACATTGCTATGCTATGGGAATAAATCCCAAAATTGTAATAGATAGGGAAAAGCTTAGGGCTTCACACAAGAAATCCACAGCAGGAAACAGCCAAATCATTCAAAAGGCAGTAACACCAATACGCCTTGTGTTCTTTGTTTAAGTCCTCCATCAGAACCCTGGCTCTAGTGGGTTCGCCTTTTTATGGTGGCTGAATTTCTTTTTTTTTTTTTCCCCACTTTTTTTTTCTTTTTCTTTTTTTTCAGAGCTGAGGACCGAACCCAGGACCTTGCTCTTGCTAGGCAAGCGGTCTACCACTGAGCTAAATCCCCAACCCTGAAGCATACACATGATTTTTTTTTTTTTGGTTCTTCGAGACAGGGTTTCTCTGTGTAGCTTTGCGCCTATCCTGGAACTCACTTGGTAGCCCAGGCTGGCCTTGAACTCACAGAGATCCACCTGGCTCTGCCTCCAGAGTGCTGGAATTAAAGGCGTGTGCCACCATCGCCCTGCCTTTTTTCCCACTTTTTAAAATTTATTTTTCTATTATCAGCTTGATACAGTATAAATTCTTATCCTAATTGTGAAATGTTTCATTGAGGCTTGCCCAGTAATTGAGTAAAACCAAAATTTATTATAAGCCACAGTCATCCTAGGGTCCCCCCTGCTATGTAGCCTCCCTGGTTCTGTGGGTTGCAGTCTGATTGTTCTTTGCTTTATATCTAGTATCCACTTATGAGTAAGTACATACCATGTTTGTTCTTCTGGGTTTGGGTTACCTCACTCAGGATGATTTTTTCTAGTTCCATCCATTTGCCTGCAAATTTCATGCTGTCATTGTTTTTCTCTGCTGAGTAGTACTCCATTGTGTATATGGACACATTTTCTTAATCCAGTCTTCAGTTGACGGGCATCTAGGTTGTTTCCAGGTTCTGGCTATTACAAATAGTGCTGCTATGAACATAGTTGAGCATGTATCTTTGTGGTATGATTGAGCATTCCTTGGGTATATGCCCAAGAGTGGTATAGCTGGGTCTTGAGGTAGATCGATACCCAATTTTCTGAGAAACCGCCATACTGATTTCCACAGTGGTTGTACAAGTTTGCACTCCCACCAACAGTGGAGGAGTGTTCCCTTTGCTCCGCATCCTCTCCAACATTGACTGTTATTAGTGTTTTTGATCATAGTGGCTGAATTTCTTACTGCATAATCCTGCGGCCTGCAGAAATGTGGGTCCTGGGGATTGAACTCGGGTCATCAGGCTTGGTGTAGTGAATCTACCTTTATCTGCTGAGACATCTCCCTGGCTAGTTTTTTGGTTTTTCTTTTTTTCCCACCTCTTGAGACAGTCTCAATGTGTGCTGGAATTACAGGTATACGCTGTGAAACTTGGCCTTTTTAAAAACAAAACATTCTGTGCGAGTGTGTGTGCGCGCGCCATGGCCCACATGAAGAGGCCAAAGGACTACTTACTGGAGTTGGGTCTCTCCTGTCATGTGGGTTCCAGGGATGGAGCTCAGAGCATCAGGCTTGACAGAAGTGCCTTTACCTACGGAACCATCTCATCAGCTAGTTGTTTTTGTTTGTTTGTTTTGTTTTTTTTCAAGACAGGGTTTCTCAGTGTAGTCTTGGCTGTCCTGGAACTTATTCTGTAGACCAGACTGGCCTCAAACTCCCAGAGATCCACTTGCCCTTGCCTTCAAAGTTCTGGGATTAAAGGTGTGCGCCACCTCTGCCCAGCATCAGCTGTTTTTGTTTTGTTTGTTTGTTTGTTTTTAAATACTTTAGTGAGAGCATTAGTTAAGGCTCAGCTGAGACTCCCTGCTTCAGGCTGGCCAGACTGCTAAGGGCTGGGAGAGTAGTGCTGCAGCCTTGAAGGTAGCAGAGTGAGAGAGCCAGGAGGAATTCAGGCCAGCTTTCTTGTACTCTAGAATGGTTAACGGGGCACTGGGTCCTAGTGTGAGATCTCATTGTCCCTTGCCAGGGCCAAGAGAGGGGTTATGGGTGTTTGTTTGGTGATGACCTCGCTTCGGCTGTCTCCTCTCATCCTCTTGCAGATTGAGGAACACAGGATCTGTGTCTGTGTTAGGAAGCGCCCACTGAATAAACAAGGTGAGCTGTTCAGTCAGAAGCATCTGGCTAACTGAGAGGAAGATCCCATGTTCAGGGAGTAGCCCCTGAAATATTCTCCTTCTGCAGAACTGGCCAAGAAAGAAATCGATGTGATTTCTGTTCCCAGCAAGTATTTCCTCTTTGTGCATGAACCCAAATTGAAAGTGGACTTGACAAAGTATCTGGAGAACCAGGCGTTCTACTTCGACTTTGCCTTCGATGAAACAGCTTCAAATGAAGTTGTATACAGGTTAGTCCCTTTAATGTTTTTTCTTCCTCATACCCCGGGCTCCCCCTCCATGTTTTCTCTTTCTGACATCAGACACTGAGCTCCATCTCTCCTCCCTGGCCTGTTGTGTATAGGCGGAAGTTTCTGTCCTGCCTGCCTGTTCTCAAATACCCAGCAGCTGCTTCCCAAATAATTGACTCGGAGGCTTAATATTACTTATAAATGCTCAGCCAGTAGCTCAGGCTTATTACTAACTAGCTCTTACACTTAAATTAACCTATGATTCTTACCTATGTTTAGCCACGTGGCTTGGTACTTAGTGTGGCATTTCTCATCTTGCTTCCTCTGTGTCTGGCTGGCGACTCCTGACTCCGCCCTTCCTCTTCCCAGAATTCTCCTAGTCTGGTTGCCCTGCCTCTACTTCCTGCCTGGCTACTGGCCAATCAGCGTTTTATTAAACCAGTTCGAGTGACAAATCTTTACAGTGTACAAGAGCATTATCCCACAGCGGTTGTGTTTATTGGGCAGCTCTCTGATCAAGGAGCTCTGGCCCCATAACCAGAAGACCCACTTTGGGACCTGTCATGTCACCTTTTAAGCTGTAGCAGCCCAATCTTGGTCATTCATGAGTGACCTATTACCAACTGCAGTCAGGCTAAAGGGCTTCTTCTAGTGGTTTGTTGTTGCTGTTGTTGTTACAAAATCTTCTGTAGCCCACGCTAGCTTAAATGTGTATGTTACTCTCAGATGGTCTTGAACCATGACAGTCCTGCTTTAGCCTCCCAAGTGCTGAGATTGCATCTTCCAATGGCTTATGCAACTACCTCATTACCTAAATGAGTTTAGCACACTCAGATGACTTCAGATCTGTCCCAGTATGCCACTCGGCGTTTAATTCTTTTTGTTGTTGTTGTTTTCGTTTTTTCAAGACAGGATTTCTCTGTGTAGCTTTGCGCCTTTCCTGGAACTCACTCTGTAAACCAGGCTGGCCTCAAACTCACAGAGATCCGCCTGCATCTGTCTCCCAAGCTCTGGGATTATAGGCGTGCGCCACCACTGCCCGGCATGTTTACATTTTATTAGAATACAAATACTCTAGAGATATATAGAAGCATATGCAAGTAACATGCAGGCATTAGGCCCTTTTATATAAAGGACTTGACTGAGGGTCAACCCAGTAGTGAAGTGTTTGCCTCGCATGTCCTAGGCCCTGGGCTCTACCCCCCTACAAAAAGAGTCAGTGATTTAAACATCAGCTATGTGCTGAGTATCAGTGGGGGCTTCCATCACCAATCCCTCTTGGATATGAAGGAATAGCTACACAAATGCCCTTTCCTCTTCTCCATCCTTTCTCCTAGGTTCACAGCAAGGCCACTGGTGCAGACAATTTTTGAAGGGGGAAAAGCAACTTGCTTTGCCTATGGGCAGACAGGCAGTGGGAAGACTCACGTGAGTACTTCAGTCCAGCAGAGGAAGCCTCGTACAGTGCAGCAGGAAGTTCTTGGGACGGGCGGTACAGATGCCCGTCACTAGACACTGGCCATGGCAGATGAAGAGCAGGGTTTAGCAGGCCCAGTCTCCTGGCTCTGGTGTGGCCCACTGTGGGGGCAGAGCCAGCTGTGCTCCGGTACACTGTGGTCACGTGCTGTTTCCTTCGGCAGACAATGGGTGGAGACCTGTCTGGGAAATCTCAGAATGCATCTAAAGGGATCTACGCAATGGCTTGTAAGTAAACTGTTTTCCATGTAGGGACTGGGTGTGGAAAGCTGCTTACTTACCAGGCTCTCCCTCCCAGCCCGGGATGTCTTCCTTTTGAAGAGTCAGCCTCGCTACCGGAACTTAAACCTGGAAGTTTATGTGACATTCTTTGAGATCTACAATGGGAAGGTAAACTGACGAAAACCTTAAAGATGGCTAGAAGTGGTTGAAGCCAGACATCTTGTTAGCTGTAGGCCTTGGGGCTACTCTGCCTGGCATGTGGACCTTTCCTCTGAAGGTGAGGTGGCAGTCAAGCTTAATAAGGAGAGCAGATATCCTCTTCCAGGCTCCCTGTGAGGCGGGAGGTCTGCCTTGTATGTGAGCTGTCCTCCCGTGACCCCCTGCTTCCTCTATGTCCTCCTTCGCCATCCTGTATATTCTCATATCCATACCCTCCACGCCTCCCTCTCTCTCTTCCTCTTACCTTCTAGTCTCAGCAGTTTTGTAGGATTGCCTTTTGTGGAGCAAGACCTCAGCAATAAAAATAATGGGATGTTATGTGCTAAGCACTTGCTAGTCTTTTTTTTCCCTCAAGACAAGGTGTCTCTGTGTAGCCCTGGCTGTCCTAGAACTCACTCTGTAGACCAGACTGGCCTTGAACTCACAGAGATCCGCCTGCCTCTGCCTCCCGAGTGAGCGCTGGAATTAAAGGTGCAGGCCACCACCACCGCCCAGCTGCTATTCTAGTCTTTTCTGTCTTGACTTTACAGGCTGTGAACAGTCTGGAGTAGCTCAGTAAACTTGCTCAGGGTGACACACCTTGTAAAGTGGTGACATGGATGTGAACCAGGAAAGCGGGGTCTTGTTACGTTACCTGTCAGCACATGCTCTGCCTTTCCTGCTCCTGGCCCTTGTCCAGGCTGGGCCAGACTCTGTAGGAAGGAGTCAGGCAAGGACCCAGCACCTATGCATGGCCCCGTCTTTATGCTCCGTGCCTGCCACAGGTGTTTGATCTGCTCAACAAGAAGGCCAAGTTACGTGTACTAGAAGACAGCAAGCAACAGGTGCAGGTCGTGGGACTGCAGGAGTACCTGGTTAACTGTGCTGACGATGTCATCAAGATGCTCAACATGGGCAGCGCCTGCAGGTCAGAGTTCTGGCGAGGGGAGGGGAAACCACTTGTGATACCTAGTTCAGATAATGAGGCCTGAGATCCACAAACAGGCATGGGGAGTCGAGGGGTGGGGGAGCATTTCTTTTTCTACATAGTTCTTCTCACCCCAGCAGGGTAAGGGCTGTGAGAGCCTCTACCTTAAGTGGGGTGGATAATCCCAGGGTCTCAAGAACAAAGTCCAAGCAGCTTAAATCTAACAAAGGCAGGCTTTATTCACAACCATTCTTGCCTGGGGTCTGGGATCCTAGTTTTCTCTGCGGAAGAAGTTAGCAGCCCTGAATCTGTTCTGGGCTAGAAGGAATGAGACCATGGTGTCTCTGTGTAAATGTAGGCCAGTGCTGATATGGTGCAGTAAGCTGTGGGTAGTTGCGGGGCTCAGATTTTTTTTCTCCCGGTGTTGAAGATTAAACCCAGAGTTTTACTTCACATGCTGGGCAAGTGCTCTACTTACTGTTCGGCTCCATTCACAGCAAGAGCCCTCAAGTTTGGGCAAGTGGTGTATGACTAGACCATCATAGCAGACTCAGCTCCTCCTCATCTTCATGAGCACCGAGTCTGGCAAATGCCCGAGCACTGAGTCCAGTACTGATTTGGCTGCCTGAAAACTATGAGGTCAAGAGCCGCTGTCTTGGAGGCCAAAATAGAGGTTAGAGGCAGGAAGACACAGGACTTCTTAGGATCGTGATCCCTGTCCCTCTTGAACTGCAGATTTTAACTGCTGTGCCTGGGGCAGTGGTCCCCAAAGTTTATAACTTTGCATTTCCCCTCCTCTTAATAGGACTTCTGGACAAACATTTGCCAACTCCAATTCCTCCCGCTCCCATGCCTGCTTCCAGATTCTTCTTCGAGCCAAAGGGAGATTACATGGCAAATTCTCTCTGGTAGATCTGGCAGGGAATGAACGAGGGGCCGACACTTCTAGTGCTGACCGGCAGACTCGCATGGAGGGTGCAGAGATTAACAAGTCTCTCCTAGCTCTGAAGGTAGCAGGCACTTGCTAGTGGTGGCCAGGAGGGCAGCTGGGAAGGGAGAGAGTAGGCTGCATAAGAAGTGGAAAGAGACTTCCAGTTATTTCTGCTGCTCCACAGGAGTGCATCAGGGCGCTGGGACAGAACAAGGCTCACACCCCATTCCGTGAGAGCAAGCTGACCCAGGTGCTGAGGGACTCGTTCATTGGCGAGAACTCGAGGACGTGCATGGTGAGTGGGATGACTCTGCAGGTGGGAAAGAAGCCCCAGAGCTGCTGCTTCCCAGGGAGACATTGCCCTGACTCTGGGCAGGGAGCTCAGTACCTCTCTGCCTGTGTTCTCGGGCTCCTGACGGGACTTCCATGGCCTGTAGCCTCTACCTTTCCTATGGGCGAGGAGGAAGAACTCCACTCTGTGGGTGCTGAGGGCAGCCGTTGCTCCCTTATCTGGTAAAAAGGGTTCTGGACTTCAGGAAGTAAACCTTAGTAGATGAGATGCAGGAGAAGTAAGTCCTCCCCACTCCTAAAGCTTCCCTCACGCTACATCTAGCCTCATATTCCGAACCTCGAATGACTTCTTCCCTTCCTATTTTATCTACAAGTGCTGCTAAGTGAGATTCGCCACTATCCAGAGCACACCCTCACCCCTGCCTGTGATGAGCAGGGCCTTTTCATGACGAAGGATAGATTTCTCTGTCTCAGCTCTAGTAATATCAATTAGTCCTACTGCTCCTTCTCCTCCCCCCCCCCCCCCCCCCCCCCCCCCCCCGCCCCAGTAGCGTAGAGGATGGAACCAAGAGTTCTTACTCCTCTTGCCAAGGGTTTTACCCCAGTCCCTAAGCCCTTCTCTCTAAGGCAGCCCCTCATGGACTGGGTGATCTGAGCAGGGGCCACCAAGCTTTGAGATCTGTCCCTTTTTTTTTTTTTGGTTTTTTGAGACAGGATTTCTCTGTGTAGCTTTGGCTCCTGTTCTGGAACTCACTCTGTAGCCCAGGTTGCCTTGAACTCACAGAGATCTGCCTGCCTCTGCCTCCTGAGTGCTGGGATTAAAGGTGTGCACCACCACTACCTGGCATTTTTTTATTTTTATTTTTATTTTTTAATTTTTTTTAAAAATTTATGTATTTATTATGTATACAGTGTTCTGCCTGCATGTATCCCTTTAGGCCAGAAGAGGGAGCCAGATCTCATTACAGATAGTTGTGAGCCACCATGTGGTTGCTGGGAATTGAACTCAGGACCTCTGGAAGAACAGCCAGTGCTCTTAACCTCTGAGCCATCTCTCCAGCCCCATTTTTCTTATTTTTTAAATTTGTTTATTATGTAAATGCACATGGCTATATGTCATGGTACTCATGTGGCGGTCAGAGGACAATGTGCAGGAGTCTCTTCTCATTCCACTGTGTAGGTTCTAGGGGTCAAATTAGGTTGTCAGTTTTAGCAACAACGAAAGTGCCTTATATACCCAGAACAAGTTGCCGAGTGGAGCATATGTGCTTTATGGGTCCTGCTTTACCATGTCAGTCTCGCCCGTTGACAGACACTCCTGGCAGCTGCCCGAGCAGCGGGTTCCTGGTGCCCTCACTTGATTCCCAGCCTCTCACCGCTGTTCCCTCTTTCTCAGATTGCCATGATCTCACCAGGCATAAGCTCCTGTGAATACACGTTGAACACGCTGAGATACGCAGACAGGTATGAGGGCCTGCGTCCAGGCGGGATGGAGAAGGGAATGGCAGGATGAGACGGGAAGTGGCTGGAGCACTCAATGACCCCTGAACTTCCTCCCTTAACAGGAAATCTGAGGTGTGGAGTTCAGCCACATGCTAGGTCTGTCCCAGTCCCCTTCAGTCAATAAAATAGTGTGTGAGGGTCTTTCCATGTCAGCCTCAGGTTTATGTCACCTGTCCCGGACTGAAGACTAGCTGCTTTTTACCCCTGGGGTCCCTAAGCTTGTTATCTGAGTGGTGATGCACTTCTGTAGTGAGTGCCCAGGGGACTGCTGGGAAATTAAGGACCTTATTTCCTCAGAGTCAAGGAGCTGAGCTCCCACAGCGGGCCCAGTGGAGAGCAGCCAACTCAAATGGAGACAGAGGAGATGGAGGCCAGCTCTAATGGAACCTCGCTGGCAGTTGATGTAAGTGGAGTGGGGGTGGGGGGCAAGATGGAATGTGCCTTTTGAAATAGACCCTGGGCCATGGTCTTGACATTGTTGTCTCCGCTGTGGCCTTCAGTTCACCAAGGAAGAGGAGGAGCTGTCTTCCCAGATGTCCAGCCTTAATGAGGCCATGACTCAGATCACGGAGCTGGAAGAGAGGGCCATGGAGGAGCTCAAGGAGATCATACAGGTGCACACTGGTCCCAGCCAGGAGGGATTGGCAGGCCCTCCTGCACAGCCCATAGAGCTCAGCCCTATTCCTGGAACGTGGGCTTACTCCTGTGGGTCTCTGGTGGGATGGGACAGGGAGACTAGCTTTTCCCAGACTGCACCTGCTCACCTGTGACACTCTCTTGTGGCCTGGTGCTGCTGAGCAGAGGGTGCAGAGGGACATCCTGTTTGTTCAGTGACTGTTCCTGCTCTGTGGTGACACACGGACCACAGCACCTCACTCTTGTGGTGTGAGCTCCTTCCCTGTGAAAGGCATTTAGTCTCACTGAGCCTCAGTTTCCCTGTCTGTCTCTAAACTGAGCAAGACACAGTATTGTCTTTGAGGATTAAGTGGTGGGCTTCTGTAGCAGCAGCACAGGACCAGCATCAGATGGAACCGAGTAAGTGGGAAATGCTCCTTGTGCTGTGAGCCTGCTGTGGGAGAAAGTGGGGAAGTGTCTCCTGTCGGTGGCAGACTTGGAAGCAGAAGGAAAGAACTTGTGTCACTGAGGAGACTGCTGTGCAGACATGTCCCCCTCCTGCTGTGTCTGGGCCACTGTAACAAAGTACATGACCCTTTCAGGACACGTGAGAGTTGATGAGTCAGTGCAAAGGCTGTGAACAGAGGGCGATCGATAAAGGCAGTCAGTGGGGTCCTGGTGCTGATGGGCCTTACGTCTGGCTCATACCAAAGACTCCAATTTCATTATGATGCAGTGAAACCTTTGGAGGGACTTCAGCAAAGTGGTGATGTGGTCAGAGCACGGGTTTGGGGTCTTTTGTCTTTAATGTGTTGGAGTGTTTCTGCCTGCATAGGTGTACCATTTTTATGCCCTATGCCCAAGGAGGTCAGAAGGTGGTGTTGGAGCCTCTAGAACTGGTTATGAGCTGCCATGAGTATGCTGGAAATTGACCTCTAGAAAAACAAGTTCTCTTAATCTCCAAGCCATCTCTCTAGCCCCTGGTTTTGTTTTTGAGACAGAGTAATGTATATATCACATACATATACATAAAACCGTGAACTCTCAGTCCTCCTTTGCCAACCTTCCAAGCACTAGAATTTCAGGTGTGTGCCACCATGCCCAGCTCATGCCAGGAAAGGGAGAAAAGGAGGTAACCAAAGAGCCAGGTGTGGTGGCTCGAATCTGTGACCCCAATATTTGAGAGGCTGAGTTGGAGGCTAGCCTGGGTTATAAAGAGCGAGCCTATCTCAAACATAGGGCCAGTAGAGCTCAGTGGTTGTTTTCCTAGAGTACACGTGAGGCTCATCAGCCTCGTGTGGTGGCATGCCTAAGCTACTGTTGAGGAGTTCAAGGCCACTCTTAGATACATTGTGAGTTCCAGGTCAGTCTGGGCTACATGTCACAAAGAAAGGGAGAGAGGAAGAAAGTTGTCATTCTAATTTCTGACTCTTTAGAACAGGATCATCTGGACAGTGGTGGCACATGCCTTTAATCCTAGCACTCAGGAGGCAGATGCAGGAGGATCTCTGAGTTTAAGGACAGCCTGGTCTACAGAGCTAGTTCCAGGACAGCCAGGGCTACATAGAGAAACCCTGTTTAAAAAACAAACAACAACAACAACAAAGACAGGATCAGTGATGTTACTTATTGGACATAGGACATAGGGACAGCTTTGGGGTAGGAAGGTGCTGACTAAGGTCAAGCTAAGGATTTCTTCTGTTTTGTTACTGCTGTTTGTTTTGAACCAGTGTCTCTTGAAGCCCAGGATATCCTTGAATTCCTGGAAATTTTTTTTTTTAAACATTTGTTTATTGTTTGGGTGGGTGGGTAGGTTGTGGAGGTCAAAGGACAACTTGTAGGAGTCAGTTCTCTCCTCCATGTGGGTCCAGGTAGCCCTACCTCCTGATCCTCCTGCCTCTGAGGGCTGAGATGATGGGCATACACCACCGCACTGTGAGTTGACTAGTTCTCCTGTTGCAGCAAGGACCAGGCTGGCTTGAGCTCTCTGAGATGACCGATCAGCCTGACTACGACTTGGAGACCTTTGTGAGCAAAGCAGAGTCTGCCCTGGCTCAGCAGGCTAAGCACTTCTCAGCCCTGCAAGGTGAGCTCGCACCTGCCCCATGGGTGCAGGCAGTGGCAGGGGGCCAGGCGGTTCCACGACGCCCAGTAACCCTTTGTGTGCCACCTCCCCTTCCTCACAGAAGTCATCAAGGCCCTGCGCCTGGCCATGCAGCTGGAAGAACAGGCTAGCAAGCAAATGAGCAGCAAGAAACGGCACCAGTGATGACTTCAAATAAAGATCTCTTTGGTATCACACCAGCCTCTTCCCCTCCCCAGCAGACTTTGGGCACCTTTGGCTTTGGTTAGGGACTGAGTTGGATGGGTTTTGGTAAATGCCAGGTAAGAGGCATCAGGCCCAGGAAAGCTAGGGGAGGAGGAAATGTGTTCTCTTCCTCAGTTTGGAGCCGGAGGAAGGAGCTTTTCATGACTGTGCTTCCCCGTTTCCTCCCTACCGGAGGGGAGTGCTGTTTGGGTAGAACGGATGGATGCTCCTAGAGAACCTGCCAGGTCCAGGCTATGGGAGAGAAGTGGGTCCTCGTCGTGCTCCGCTGCCTTTGGCCTGCAGTATCACCCCTGTTTTGAGCACACTCATGTTTTATACTTACAGAAAAAAAGTTTTTTTAGTTTTTGAAGCCCAAGAAAATCTATTTCGTGCTTTACGTATTTTATGTTGTACCTAACAATAAAGAAAGAAAAGGTCAGACTCTGTCGGAGAAACTTCAGTCTCTTGAGCCTTTAAGACCAAGGACGCTGCTTCCACCTTGGGCTCTGAGTCTCTTTTCTTCCTAGGAAACCAAGTCCACACTTGTGGTTTCAGCAACAGGCTGAAGTTCCACCCTTTGGTTTGTCTTAAGTAGGCTAGTACTGAGCTCCAGACCCTGGGCCAGGAGCTCTAAGTGAATGGGGTGGAGTTGCATTGCGCTCTGCTCTGTAGCCCTAGCTACAAAGCACAGGGGATTAAACATGCTAGGTAAACACTCCCAGTACAGCTGGGTTCCTACTTTTGTGTTGGAGTCTTCAGCTGAGAAGCGAGAAAGGTGATTTATTGTTACACTTGGCCACAGTGAGAACAGAACTGTTAGTGCAGAATGCCTCAGGTCCAGGGCAGAGGGCCAGCCGGACTGTCTTGGGTATAAAGTAGACAGTCAAGTCTCTGGTGGTCTCTGAGCCGGTGGTCATGTTCCAGATCTCGGAGACTCATGACTGACAGCAGCACACAGTCCACGACTTGTCCCAGCGTCCCGTCCTTCAGTCCCTCACTCTGCCCCTGCAGCCTTTGTGGGACACAAGCTAAACTTCTTGCACCTCTGCCTCATCTTTCCTCTCTTGACTTGAGCCTGGGCGTTCACTCTCATGGTGCAGGAGTTTTGAGGAAGGTGGCGCTAAGGCCGTCTTGGCACATTCTTACTTTTGAGACAATGTCCCACTAAGTCTCTGGCCTTCAATGTGTGATCCTCCCTCCTCAGCTCTGCATTTAGCAGGGATACAGCCTGCGGCACCAGGCCTGGCTTAGTCTGCTCAAGACATATTGAGAAACTGGTAACGCTGACAAAGAAGCCACTTGACTTCCTAAAGAGAAAAGGCATCTGAAGGGAAAATTAGTATGGTTTTGCAAAATAATTAGTTTGTCAGGTGGACTGAGGAACCAAGCTTAAGGCATGGGTGTTTGGGCATGATATGCTATTGATAAAATGTCATAGATTGAATTTAGTGAGTGGTACCCTGTGTTCCTAAAGGACGTGCCACGTGTTCAGATTGGGTAAAAACAGTGACTCCGCACACAAATCCAGTGAGAGAAGGCCAAGTGGGGAAGGTCCTTGGCCCTGCCTCTCCTGTGGAGGGGAGAGCCAGGTTTACACGCAGTACTTTCTGGGAAGTAGCACTCAGGCCTGGCCTGGGTCATCCTAAAATCCTTTATCTTGTACCTGTGTGATACGCAGAAGTTGCTTCTTTCCACAGACCATTTCCATGGGTGTTGGAACTCCCAACCACGCTGATGAAAATGGTACCCATAAGGTCTGGACCGACAGTTTCTGAGCTGGGAACTGAGGGGTCTTTGGCCACTGTGCAAGACCGGCTTCTGGATGGCACCCATCTCGCAGGAGTTGCTGGACACTGGCTGTAGTTGCAATCCATGATGGTCTACAAACCTGTGTCTTGTACATAATAACCTTGGGTCTCTGGACCAAAAGCTTGCAAATCCAACTCCAGTGGACACATGCCCATCTCGGTCACATGCATGGACAGTGGACGCAGGCCCATCTTGGTCACATGCATGGACAGTGACTGACTTGTCAGGCTAGAGTTATCCTCTCCACCAGTGAAGTGCTTGCTCCAGCTGCTGCTGCTCGGAGGAATACTGCTCGTCCCCAGTTCAAAGTGATCCAAAAAAGCTGGATGGGTGCTGAGTCAGGAGGATTCCCAGGAGTTCAAGGCTAGCCTGGGCTACCTTTGAGTTCTAGGCCAGCATGGAAGACTCCTCCTCAAAATAAAAAATATAAAAAGAGAGAAAAAATGCAGATCACTGAGGAGCTTATCCTGGACAGTGGGCTGCTGGGCTCTTCCAAGGCAGAGCTTCCTCTGCCCTTTCACACCCCATCCTTCTCCTTCATTCCTTCCTAATAGGTTTTCTGTAACTCGATTATAGGTTTCTCCGCTGAGGCAGTAAGCCAGATCAAGCCGAATTGAAAAGGTAAAAGAACACATATATTTGAGCAGAGCAACTCCTGGGTGAGCCCTCCAGTCCCAGAGATAGGGGCAGGAGAAGTCACATGGCCCAACAAAAACGGGGAGCTTATGTACCCTATAGGCAAGGGGTGATGGTGTGTCTGCCACAAACTGGGTTTAGGCCCAAGTATGGTCAAAAGCTGACCGCTTGAAGTAGGGTCTTGGGCTACTGGCAACTTCAGGGTCTTACTATGTAGCTCTGGCAGTCCTGGGACTCATCTGTAGACCAGGCTGGCCTCAAACTCACAGGTGTGCGCCACTAGCACCCAGCTCCTCTTCTGAACTCCAGACCCTCACTTGAGGGGCCACCGGCCTCTTGTCATCCCAGTATTGGTAGAATCACTTGACCTCATTCCTGTGACCCAAGGGTGGTACAGTCCACCAGGAGTCCTACCCTTGTGTGGGGAGACACCCAAAAGTGCAAATGAGGGTCCTAGGAGCTGGAAGAATAATGGCTGAAAGGTGGGGCTGCTTCGTCCCACCCCACCCTGCATACTGCACTGGGCTGGCCAAGGGACCCTGACTGGAAGAAAAGCATTGATGTGACTGTGGGATAGGGGTAAGGTTTGAATGCTAAGAGTCACGTAGGTGTGCGTGTAAGAAGGTGTTTAGCTGGGCAGTGGTGGCTCATGCATTTAATCCCAGCACTCTGGAGGCAGGCCAGCCTGGTCTACAGAGGGGGTTCTCCAGGACAGCCAGGGTACACAGGTGAACCATGTCTTGGAAAAAAAAAAAAAAGTTGAGCAGTGGGTAAGTATCGTGGAATATATAAACTCAGAAGACAAGCAATGGGAAAGAAGGAAACCAGTTCTGGCTGCCAACCTGTTTTGTTTCTTGAGAGAGTCTCACTATGTAGCCCTGACTGGCCTGGAACTGGCATAGCCCAGACAGGCTGTCCTCGAACTCATGTCCTCTACCTCCAGAGTGCTGGGATTAAAGGTGTGTGGCACCATGCCCAAACTGTTGTGCGTGTTGGTTTTTGCAGTTCTGGGGATTCAGACCATGTGGTCACATGCTCAATCATTGAGCTAAACTCCCAACTCTTCAGTTTATGAAATGTAGGCATTTTCTACCTTGTGGCAAAAATCTAAGATGCCATTAAGTAGCCTTTAAAATCTGAATTTCTGTATTCAGAATTTTGGCTTTTTCTCATGTTTGAGAGAAGTAGCAATCGCGCTGTGGCCTTGACAACAGCTTCTTGACAACAGGTTAAGTATGGAACTCGGTGGCAGACCACTTGCCTGGCATCAGCAAGAGGAATGCTGGGGAAGACAACAGCTTCAGGGGAACCCAACGCTCCCACCCCCTCTCTCAAAGGAGACTACAGAAACCACCTTTTAGTATCACAGAGGTTCAACCAAAGACTTTCATCTGGAAAGTTAGGAGCTCTGGTTAGGACCCCTAACCAGTCAACCTGCTTGAGCTCCTGGCTCCCAGTTGACCCATTGTCAACCAGCCAGAGGAATGGTAAATTAGTCCTCTGCTTGGGGTTCTTCGGTAACTTCCCTGGCGCAAAGGATGAATTCTGAATGCCCTCCTGTGACCTAATAAGCCCTGTCAGGTCAGTTTCTCTCTGCTGCTCTGCTGCGTCCCACTTTGCAGAACAGTTTGGAGGTTCACAGCTCAGTTTTTGAAGCCAAACTTTAGGGTGGCTGTCGAGTTATGACCTGCAGCTCTGCCTGGGTTGTCCAGTCTATCTGCTACCTATAAGGATATTTACTTTGAAATTTAAAAAAAATAAATAAAAAAAAATAAGGGAGCTGGGCATGGGAGGCAGAAGCAGGTGGATCTCTGAGTTCAAGGCCAGCCTGGTCTACAGAGCGAGTTCCAGGACAGCCTGTGCTACTCAGAGCAACCCTGTTACGGATGGAACTGGAGAGATGGTTTAGTGGGTGTGCAAGCATGGTGACCTGAGTTTGCGTCCATGAGCACGAGGTTCAGTCCCCAGCTCCCATAAAGCGGTTCGTAGTCACTGTAACTCCAATTGCAGGGGACCTGATGCCCTCTTCCGACCTCCTTGTTAATATTCACCCCTTGAAATCCCGCCCCTTGGGGCCGCCCTGCATCCTGACCTAGAAGTCTCTTAAGGAAAAACTCCGCCCCTTCTCTCTCTCTCTCTCTCTCTCTCTCTCTCTCTCTCTCTCTCTCTCTCTTCCTCTCTCTCTCTCTCTCCCTCTCTCCCTCTCTCTCTCTCCCTTTCTCCCTCTCTCCCTCTCTCCCTCTCCCTCCCTTCCCTCCCTCTCTCCACTCCGACGAGGTGTGCACCCCTGGACCTCTCTCTCCCTCTCTCTTTTTTCCCTCTTTCCTATCTATCTCTTTTTTTTTTTTTTTTTTTTTTTTTTTTTTTTTTTTTTTGGTTTTTCGAGATAGGGTTTCTCTGTGTAGCTTTGCACCTTTCCTGGAACTCACACTGTAGCCCAGGCTGGACTTGAACTCACAGAGATCCACCTGCCTCTGCCTCCTGAGTGCTGGGATTAAAGGCGTGCGCCACCACCGCCCCACTCAGGTGCAGCCTCTGGGTTGTGAATGTCCACGCGCCACTGCCCACACCATGCCTGCATGGCCTGGTGCCACAAGCCGCTGCATCCGCTCCAGCATGCCAGCATGGTCCCCCTGCACACGTGGGATACCCTGGCCCTGCCAGCTGGAAGTTTCCCATGTGTGCATAATTCATAATATTTCCTGTGCATCAGGCAATCACATGGTGTACAATATACATGCAGGTAAAACACATAGTGTGGGGGCTGGAGAGATGGCTCAGTGGTTAAGAGCACCGCCTGCTCTTCCAGAGGACCTGGGTTCAATTCCCAGCACCCAGATGACAGCTCACAACTGTCTATAACTCCAGTTCCAGGGGACCTGACACTCATGGCAAAACACCAATGCACATAAAGTTTAAAAAAAAAAGTGTGATAAAGAATTCCTGTGACCACAGTGCGGCGGGGCACAGACAGGATTGTCTGGGTTTGCTGGGTCACAACATGTATGACTGGCATGTGTAGAGGTCAGAAGACAACTTTGTGGAGATGGTTCTTTCTTTCCATCTTTTCCTGGGTTTGAGGTTAAACTCAAATCACCAGGCTTGTGAGCACCTTTACCCATGAGCCATCTCACCAGCCTTTGTTATTTACTTATTTTTGAGTAAGGTTTCACTAAGGTGCATCTTCACCAGCTTTCTGTTTTTGATGATATCCTTCAATGCCTGAGCTTTGCTGTTCTGGAATTTGTTCCGTAAACCAGGCTGGCCTCAAACTCAGAGATCCAAAGCCTCTGCCTTCCCAGTGCTGGGATTAAAGGTATGCACCACCATACCAGGTTCTCAACTTTTAGTTCCTTTTCAGAAGTTTGAAACTTAGCTGGGTGGGATCTTGTCCTGAAGTCACCACTCCCTTTATTCCATTTCTGTTTTTTTCTTTCTTTCTTGTTTGTTTGTTTTTCGAGACAGGGTTTCTCTGTGTAACAGCCCTGGCTGTCCTGGAACCATCCACCTGCCTCTCTGCCTCCCCAGTGCTGTGATAAAAGATGTGCAAAACCACCGCCCAGCCTTTATTACATTTCTTAATCTGTTTATCTCCTTGAACACAGTGACACACTTCTTCCAACAAAGCGACACCTCCTAATACGCCACTCTTTTGGGTGGACATTTTCTCTCAAAGCACCATAATACCCATACACATAAAACAAAAATAAATAAATCTTTTTTTAAGTCACATTTTAATTGTACTGGTTAGTTTTATGTCACCTTGACACAAGCTAGAGTCATCAGAGAGTGGGGAGCCTTAGTTGAGAAAATGCTTCCATAAAATCCAGCTGTAGGGCATTTTCTTAATTAGTGATCAATGGGGGAGGGCCCAGGCCACTGTGGGTGGTGCCATCCCTAGACAGGTGATCCTGGGTTTTATATGAAAGCTGGCCTGAACAAGCCATGGAGTGTAAACCAGTAAGCAGCACCCTTTCATGGCTT